TTCACGGAATCCTGAGAAATGTCTCATTTGCGAGCATCAGATTGATTTGTTTTGCTTGCGTTACTTTACAACCCAGAAGATTGAGGAGGCGATTGTTGACCCTAAGTTTCCGTTGATTTTTACCAGACTGCACGGCGTTCTATCTGCCACTGGGGACTTCGAATCCGACATAATTATATTGGATCATGCGAGTTGTATTGGCACTCCGTTCGCGGCAGCTGCTCGAGTATACTACAATGGGTTGGTCTTGAGTGGCACGGGCTGCTGTTTGTACTGCGTTCCGGAGCGCGATCGGCAGACTTCGTGTGAAAGCGTAGCGCGTCGTGTTCTGGCGGGATCCAGGTCCAGGGTGCCATTTTGCTGGTGGCGTTCCCAGCCTTCACTAAAATGTTCTGGAAGACTGGCAATTGTTAGGAGAAATATACAAATAGACTGAGGGTGTTTGAGAACAGGATGTTGATGAGAATATTTGGACCAAAGAGGGATGCAGTGACAGGAGGTTTGAGAAAACTGCAGAATGAGGAGCTTCATAACACAGTCTTCGCCGGGTATAATTAGAATTTTCGATTCAAGGATGATGAGATGGGCAGAGCATATAGCACGAATGGAGAAGAGTAATGCATATAGGATATTGGTGGGAAAGCCGGAAGGAAAGAAACCAATACGAAACGTAGGGGGGTGGACAATATCAAAATGGATCTTAGAGAGATAGGATTGGATTGATCTTGCTCAGGATAGGAACCAGTGGAGGGCCCTTTTGAACACGATAATGAACATTCGGGTTCCATAAAATGCTGGGCACTTCTTGTGTAGCTGCACAATTGGCGGCTTCTCAAGAAGGGCTCAGCTCCATGAGCGAGTGAGTGAGTGAGAGGGAATGTAGAAAGAATAGAATCCTGACAAAAGGAAGAACTGTATTTATATGAAGAAGAATGAAAGACCGTGTAACCCTATGTTGTACTCGTATTTTAGTGGTGTAATATCAGTTCAAATTTTTGATCACCTGGTCCCTGACGATGGGCGCAACATATTCCTCTCAGACGTTTATATCTGTTAACACGACTTCACGGTGTCATGCCCCAGAAGACGACCACCGCTATGAACCCCGCCCAGAACTTCATCTTTGCTATATTGTCAGTTGTATTATAATGGAATATTTCCTTTGGCGTTTCCCATTATTTGGACAAGCAGATGGGCATATTCGTTGTTTTCTAACCGTCGATAGCCCTTACATTGTGCTCCAACTCCTTGTTGTCTCCGGCCGCTACTGGTGGCGGCGGCTACAGCTTGCTTTACGCTGCTCCACTTATCACCATTTGCACACCCCTGATCTCTAGTATGTTAGGTTGTAATTTGGGCGCCAGGAAACTGAAAGGGGTGAAGGATTCGGGAGGGGTTGCCGTGATGGGGCCCAGATTTTCATGACCTGAAAATATTTAAAAAATGACTATAAAATCACCGAAAAATCCAGAAAAATTACCTAAAATACGACCCAAAAATGTAATATGCAGAGCCGGGATTTTGAGGACCTGGAAATATTTAAAAAATGACTGAAAAATCCAGAAAAATGACCTAAAGAAGAAAAGAAAGAACACTTCGCTTCCATGTTATTCACATTTCAGAAAACATGTGAAGAAAAATTCTCCAAAATGGTCAAAAATGACAAGAAATACCCTTAAAAGTCCAAAAAGTTACCTATAAAATTTAAATTTCTATAACCAGCAGCTGATATCCGAGATTTATATAAAAATTAGGAGCATCGCATAGGATACAAGGAAGAAAAGATGACATGTCATCAAAACCCGGACTCCACAAGACACTTTATTCCTATTAGGTTGTTGATGCTTGACTTTGAAACACTTGATTACACTTGCTTGTTAAGTTATGTGTCACGCTGTTTTCGTCTGAATATTGAACTGCGTTACTGGTTTTCAGTATTCATTTCGATATTATAAATTCCGCAACTGGTACTTTAATTTTCCGTTTAATCCCACTTTAGGACAAACAGTTGATACTTGGACACTGTAAGCGTGGTAAGTCCACAAATTTTACGTAATTAATTATAAATTTTTGAAGGGATGCAGATTTTGCGTCCGTCTATTTCTTGAGTCTTGCAACAACTGACTTAACAGAATGACCTTTTCTCAACTCTCGGAGACTTCTGGGTCCACAAGTCAACTCCCTAAATTACGAGGATTGGTCACTTTTTTTAAAAATGGGAGTACCTTAATTAACTATTCCCCCAATCCGTTTAAGGATTTCAGTGGATTTAGGCTCCAAAGATTTAGCGTAAATCCTGTCAGTAGCTTGACAAATGTTAAGCTTGGCTTGGGCTGAGAGACCACCCGTCTTTAAGTTACAATGATCAAAACTGTCACATATCGTATTTTCAGAGATCTCCAACAAGCAAAATTTCGTGTAACTTTCTAAAGAAACCAAGCTGCGGGGGGGGGCCTTCCTGTTTCACTTCGCATCTGCGTTGACCAGTCGTTTTTCTTTTGTCCTTTTCATTCGAGAGTTTGAGCTAAAACTCCTTCTTGAGAGCAAGAAATAGCCTGTGTACCCTACGTCCATTTGCTGTGTGTTACAAGTAAACCTAAGCGAACATGGTAATAACATGGATCAAAGCATGCTACTAAATTAAATCAAGCTAAGGTTGGCAGATCGGTTACAGTTTCAAGGGCTGCCTGTGTTTTCGCCTTCGTCAGTCCTGCAGAAAGTGTGATTACGCATCGCGGCCTTTTAAAACGTAATTCTTATCGTTAGAGATATGGACTGGCTTAATCTGGCCGAGGAATAGGGACCAGCGGTTGGTTCTTGTGAACACGGTTTCGTGAAGTGTAAGTAAATTCTGGAGCAGCCGAGCAACTTGCGGGTTCTGGAATAACGGCTCAGCTCCATGGAATTAAGCCTTATCGCTAAGCTAGTGATGTTAGTGATGAGGGCTGACTTTCCGACGAGCTGCACTGACTATGTGCTGCTTCCCTTTGTGTTAGACGAAGACCGACCGAAACGTCGGTGGTCGGTGCTCAAGGAAAATGTCCTGTTACGAGAATATACCCGTAGACGTCGGGACAAATGAATTTATTGGACACCAGTTGAACGATGCTGGTTGCACGAAATATTATACTGAGAGGGGAGGCAGGAATTTAAAGGAAAGGGTTGGAATGCGAGAGCTGTAAATGGAGAAACGGCGAAGAGGAAGGAAGAGATGAGCAGAGAAAGGAAAATTGTGAACTGAAGAAATCGATTTCTGGAGGTTACACGAGAAAGGGGGTCTATACTTGAAAATAGCGGGAACGAGAAATTTACATTTGTATTATTATCTGAGGTGTTAGCTGACCCTTCCAAGGAACATTCAGCTCAGAAAAATGAGAAAGCATATATTCCTTGCTTTACTACCAAAACGTTGGTAGCAATCTGCAATTTTATACGGTGTCATAACCCAGAGGATTGGCAGCAGTCTGGGATCCTGCACGGTGTCATAACCCAGAGGATTGGCAGCAGTCTGGGATCCTGCACGGTGTCATAACCCAGAGGATTGACGACATTCTGTGATCCGGCTCGGTGTCATAACCCAGAGGACTGGCAACAGTCTGCAATCCTCCACGGTGTCATAACCCAGATGATTGGCAACATTCTGTGATCCGGCTCGGTGTCATAACCCAGAGGACTGGCAACAGTCTGCAATCCTCCACGGTGTCATAACCCAGATGATTGGCAACATTCTGTGATCCGGCTCGGTGTCATAACCCAGAGGATTGGCAACAGTCTGCTATCCCGCACGGTGTCTGCATCTTGTGGCCGAAAACAAAATGGCTGATTTCTTAAGTGGCAGTTGCTATATTTTCGGTCGAGTGGCTGGTGGCTTTGTGCTTTGTATTTGGAAGGTTCGGTGTTCAAATGTGCGCTGGAACACCGGTTAACCTGACAGACCTCATTTGGAATTGGAATGGGTGTGGAAGGAACAGACCATGACATGACTGGATGTGTTAGTCTGAGAATGACTGCAGCCCCGAAATCAACTGAAGAAACGCATTTGGGGGCTGACAGATGTCTAGAATGCGGAGCAAGCGTGATATCGATTCGTTGGACGAGTTCGCGTCACGGGTTACAAGTAATCTAATTTAACTTGGCAGTTTATCTAGTAGGCTTAGGTCTGTGTATCGTGGGATTAGCGTTGCAACATAAGATTTGTTTCGGTAACAAATAAAATTGCAAAAACCATATAGAACATGTAGTGCTTTCTACTCACCGAAGTAGTGTGAACTACCAGCAGAATTGTTAAGTAGTCCTAATTAAACGTAGACCCCGTGCCATTACGGCAGATTCGTGAAGAATTGATGAGACTGATGAAAACGAAATAGGCCTATACTGTATTTTCCCCCAATGGTATAGGTTGTCTAGAGGTCCAACCAGCTTCCCATCCAATGGGTGAAGGTAAAGCTGTCCCTGTAACAGGCCTTGGAGGCCCATAGGGTTGTGAGAGGTCGAGGGTCCCACATTATCTAGACAGTAGGCACACAGATGGCAGTGAGGTCAGCGTTACGCGCCGGCAGCCCTATACTCCCAGGAAGATTCGTGGTAGTCATTTCTGTTAGAGGCTGAGTCGACCCCATGGCCATGGTGCGGCTGGAAGGATTAAGAAAATTGAAAATATCCACCTCATCGGGACTCGAACCAGCAACCATTTGCTTGTAGCATAGTGCCTCAACCAACTACGCTGCCTCGTGCCCCCCCCCCATCCATTGGGTACCTGAGGTAAATCGGCCGGGACATGAAACTGACCACTGGCTTCCAGCTAGTGTCGCTCCCCCATACGCCTTCATGACGTAGTGCTTAAGTCATTAAGCACAGGGAAAAGTTCACACTTTGTATAGGTTGTCTGAATTCTTGTTCATACAAAGATCTGTTGTGGGTTAGGCGGTTGCAAGGCAGTCATGCGAGAGAAGGTTTCGAGCCCAAAATCAACCGACCCAATATTGTGTATCCTGTTGCAGGAGGATGGTGGGCCGCCTGGTGCTGGAAACGCTGCCAGCGGTGGCTGACGACCCTGCGGACGTGGCGAGCGTTATGGCCATCATCGAGAAGGTCGCCACAGACTGTGGTGAGTCCTATCATAGTTTTCTCCCTCAATAGACTCCTTTCTTTCTTTCTTTCTTTCTTCCTTCGTTCCTTCCTTCCTTCCTTCTTTAGTCTCCTGTTTGCGGACTTTTCCATTCTTTCCTCGTTTCCTTGTGTTCGTGTCGCTTTTCTTGTGCAACATCCGCTTTTATCTTCTCGTTATTTTCTTACATTCTTTTCCTCTTAGCGTTCCATTCGTCCTTTTCATACTCCACTGTATTCCTCTTCGCCTTCTCATTTCAATTCTTTTATCATTGTTTGCGGGGTTTTCCTCAGGTCTAGAAATCCGAGATTAACGGCCGTGGGGATCCATTGCGCTGACACGCGACACCCTCCGCAAAAGTTGGCACCAAATTCGCCGACAAGCGGCGGTCGCTCGGTCGGTATGGTTCGCTGGGGGCTCAAGCCACGGATTTTTTGTTTTGGGGGGTGTTCCTTTAAAGCACCAGCTCATTTTGAATGACGTTCCGCCTGTTTTTTCTTGTACAATAAAAGGCACCCATAAGAATGGAGAGTTGGTTACATAACTGTTATTCTGCTTAGGAACATCCTTGGAGAAAGTGCCGAAGTGGGCCTATATAAGATTTGAGGTTTTCACAGCGGTGACTATGAAGAATGCCGTCTTCTGGGATGTGGCGCCTTGTAGATATTGTGGAAACCGACATCTCTTATACCCTGAAGATGGAGGCGAAACGTCGGTTAACAAAATATCTGCACGGCGCCACATCCCAGAAGACGGCATTCTTCGCCGTATATTTCAGAGTTCATCTGTTACAGCCGCAGGAACGGTTGGATAAATAAATAGGCCTGTGTCCCCATAGATGATGCCGCGCTAATGTTAATGCCATACATGCCCCTGTGCATAATCAGTCATTTTGTTCAATATGCTTGTTGCTATCGGCAAGTGGAGTTGAGAGCGCTGATCCTTAGTTTGGCTAATTTATCATAACTCTTCACTTTTGCGGTTTCTGTGTGTACGTGTATAATCCCTTTTTTTTTCCTAAAGTGGACGTAAACATTTTCATTAAATCGCGTCCAGAACTCCTTTTTATTGTCCTTATTATTAAAGCGCCCCTCAATAATGCAACAGTATTTTAAAATATAAACGAAATTTAGAATATGTTTCTCACTAAAAGTGTAACTGAAATATTTTATGATGTTAAAATCATAAAATGTCACTAAGACGCCAAAAGTATAACTTACTAAAATGTCTCTAGTTTTCTTCTCTTTACAACATGTTTCGGCCGCACGTGGACCATCATCTGGAATTTCAGGGAGACCACTGCACTGTTCACTTGCCAGTCCTGCTTCCTTGCACGTCGTTGTTTAGTTTTATGTGTCGTATTCCTCTTGTATGTGTGTCACTAGTGTGGTCTTCTGTATACTCTTATTTGATGTCGACGCGATCAGTCGCAGCAGGGACAGGTCTGATCATGTTGTGCAGAATGTGGCCCTGCTCCCCTGCGTATTTCCTTGGTTCTGTTGGACCTGGCAGGCCTTCATGTCTCACTGTTGTCGCTCCGTTGTGTTAGGCCCATGCTTACAGCAGATACTAAAGGTAAAGTTCTCTCTGTGCTTAACTAATTAAGCACCACGCCGTTCTAATTGCGGATTGATTGATATGGTATTTAAATGTGGTGGTCTAGTGGTCAGTGTTCCTGGCTTCAGATCCAGAGGTCCGGGTTCGATTCCCGGCTACCAAATTTTCTGAGTAGCAGTTGGTCTGGAACGGGGTCCACTCAGCCTCATGAGGATAACTGAGGAGCTATTTCAAGGAAATAGCGGTTCCGGTCTAGAAAACCGAAATTAACTGCTGTGGGGATCCGTTGTGCTGACCACGCGACACACACTGTCGGTAAAAGTTGACACTAACTTCGCCGACAAGCGGCGATCGCTCGGTCGGTATAGTTCGCTAGAGGGCTAAACCCACGGAGTTTGTTTGTGTTTGTTTGATTTGAGGTTCTTACAGTGGTGGTTATGAAGAGTTCTATCTTCTGGGGTTACAGTGCCGTGGAGTCCGTTGAAAGTCGACTATCAATGTATCGTAGGGTGTTGTGACACCAGAAGGTAGAACTCTCCATGGTACATAAAGATTGCAGTGCGTTTTATTAACTTTATGATAACCAAGTGCTCTCTATCGCTAATGTCAAAAGCCCGCCATTCGGCACCAGCCTGGGTCAGTTACGCCAACCGGTCTTCGGAGTGGACGCTGAGACGAATTTAAGTAAGTTCTCACTAGTACTCGTATTTTTCAAAAATTTGCTTTCAGAAATCGAGTGCTGGTTATTCTGGTGATGTAGAATTCAGGAAACTTCCAGGAAAGTTGCAGTTAGACTATCTGTGAGGTATCCGCTTCGTCCAAACCTGGTCTGTGGCCCACCCAGCCTTTATCCAGCGGGTACCGGCGGCTGTTTCCCCGGGGGTGCCGAGGTCAAGAAAACGTGGGAAAAGGCTATAAAAAGTGGATCTTTACATCCACTCCCCATACGCCTTCATGGCGTGGGGCTTAATTAGTTAAGCACAGGGAGTACTTTAGACGAATTTACCTTTTACATATGTGTGAAATCTCGCTGACCTCCTCTATGGTCTAGTGGTCAGAGGTCCCGGCTTCTATTCCCGGCGCTACCAGATTTTCTGAGAAGTAGTGGGTCTGCAACTGGGTCCACTGATTCTCGTGAGGATAATTAACGGCCGTAGGGATCCGTTGCTCTGACCATGCGACACCTTCTACCCGCAAAAATTTGGCGCTAACTTCGCCGGCAAGCGGCGGTCGCCCGGTCGGTATACTTCGCTTGCGGACTCAAGCCACGGAGTTTGTGTGTGTGTGTGTGTTAAATCTCAGCGGCTTCGAGGCCGAGTCTCGGGCCCATCCAGCCTCTTCATTGCTTTTGGGATCTGTCCGCGGGGGTAAACCTGTCGGAGAATTGCCCTGGTCACTCACAGCCCCGGGCTTATTGCGTGGCACTATTCCTCCACTCCCCTTATGCGTTTATGGTGTGGTGCTTAAGCGAAGAGACATCTCCACCTTAACCTTGCGGATTCGTAGACTAGTCGTTAAAATTCCGATGTTAATCGTGTTGACGATATGAGCTCTTGACTAGTATTTATACTCAGCGCGTGAGAGTCCCGCACGTGCCCCTTGCAACATTCCAGCACACGTGGTGTGGCACGTGGCACAGCTCGACTTACCAGGAAATGAACCCACGCCCCTTCCCCTCGTATGTCTATATATAACCCCTTGCTTCCATTGAGCAAGCTGTGTATGCACCCGAGTGCACTACCGCCGGCTGCGTCCTTCCGTCTTGTTCCTTCTCTTCGCATCTGCCAGTCGCCTTTGTACGCTAACGCCTCTTCTTACGTAAGGATTCCGTTTCTTGAAAGTCTTTCCGTGTTTCAATTTTCCGTTGGTTTAAAGTCAGTAACAAGACATAAAAAGGTAAAGTTGACCCTGTGCTTAATTAAGCAATACGCCATGAAGGCGTATAGGAGAGTGGATGTATAGGTCCACATTTTCTTGACCTCGGAACTAGTTGGAGGTGAGTGATCAGTTTCACGCCCCTGCCACTTTACCCCGGGGGAAAGATCCCACGGTACTCATTGGATAGGAGGCTGGGTGTACCCCAGAGCCAGCCTGGACTACGTGGAGAAGAGAAAATTCTTGATTCTACCGACACTCGAACTCCGACCCCTCGGTCGTCCAGCCCGTAGCCATTCGCTGTACCGACTGCGCTATCTCCACACAATATCCTATCGAATGGGTACCGGGGGAAACCTGACAGTAAAGCGGTCGGGGCGTGAAGCTGACCACTCGGCTCCAACTAGCGCCGATGTCAAGAAAATGTGGATCTATACATCCGCTCTTCCATACGCCTTCATGGCGTAGTGTTTGACTATTTAAGCTCAAGGACAACTTAATAAGAGATGCGTCTATTGACGGTAGTGGCGGAAACCTGCCGTGCAAATTTATTTAGGACTCTTTAACCCTCTTCCTTTTTCACAGCAGAAAATACGGTAAACTAACGTAAAGGAGGCCCGTGGGATTGTGAGATGTTGAGGTTCCCACACTATCTAGACAGTCGGCTAACAGATGGCGGTAAGGTTATCAGCCTTCCCCCCCCCCCGTACCCCCAGGAATATTCCTGGTACTCATTTCTGTTAGAGGCTGAGTTGACCCTAGGGCCATGGTGCTGCTGGAAGGATTAGATCAATTGAAAAAATCCACCTCATCGGGATTCGATCCCGCAACCTCCCAGCTTGTAGCATAGTGCCTCAACCAACTACGCTGCCGCGTGCCCCCAGAAAATACAGTGCCTTCGCATTTTATAGGAGGGATGCGTTCCTGAAGACCTAGCATAATTCATGACAAAAGTCTCTGGTAGAAGTAAATTTAAATTAAGGGGGATCTTGTGGTTCGCGCGACTTCGCTGGTGAGACCTTAATACAAATGCACTGTATAAAGCAGTGAATGACGAAGCTTTCCGCTGCTTGGTGCCGTTGTTACGTTACAGCCTGCTGAGCGTATTGGTGTGCCTGCTTCTGCACATTTGTATTCGTTTCGTTTGGGTTGGGGGGGGAGCGGCTTCTAAAAATTTGTTTGTACATTTTGCGATTCAGTATTTTGCCTGTGGTTCGGTATGGGTGTGAAAATTGGTCTCTGACTTAAAGGAAGGAACATAGTTTGAGGGTGTTTGAGGACAGGCTGTTGAGGAGAATATTTGGACCGAAGAGAGATGAAGTGACAGGAGGTTGGAGAAAACTGCATAATTAGGAGCTTCATAACTTGTACTGTTCTTCAAGTAAAATTAGAATGATCAGGTCAAGGAGGATTATATGGGCACGGTATGTAGCACGAATGGGTGAGAAGAATACATATATGATATTAATGGGAAAGCCAGAAGGAAAGAGACCACTGAGAAGACCAAAACGTAGATGGTTGGGCAATATGGAAATTGATCTTAGGGAGATAGGAGGGGTTGATATGGA